TCCCCAAAACCCCAAAACCCCAAAACCCCTTTTTATTTGGAATTTTAAAGTTTTATACAATTTTTTTATATCTTTAAGCTAAATATGCAGTCAAGAGGGTTTAAAATGGCTCTAGTGCAGATGAAAATGCAAAGAGAAAAGGCTAAGAATGTTCTCAAGGCACACAAAATGATATCAGAAGCTGCCGAGGCTGGAGCTGATGTTATTGTACTTCCTGAAGCATTCACTTGAAATTATTCCAAGTTCCCAATCCTTGAGAATGCAGAGCCAATTGATGATTATGAGACAAATGAAGAAGCAACTGCAGCTAGGATGCTGAGTGAGGCTGCTAAAGAGCATTCTGTTTATATTATTGGGGGCTCCATTGCTGAGAGAAGAGATGATGGTAAAATCTACAATTCTTCCCCCTGATTTGACAAAGAAGGTAACCTTGCCCTTAAATATACCAAGTGCCATCTCTTTGATGTTGAAATTCCTGAGAAAGATATCAAAATCAAAGAAAGTGACTTTTATGAGTTTGGTGACAATTTTGGAATTTTTGAAACAGAATACTGCAAATTCGGTATCGGCATCTGCTATGATGCCAGATTTCCAGATTTCTCACAAGTCTTATGTCGAGAAATGGGTGCTGAATTCTTGGTCATGCCAGCTGTCTTCACAGCCCCTACTGGGGAAATGCATTGGGATATCTTAAGAAAAACTAGAGCGTTAGATAATCAAGCATTCTTCGCATTCTGATCAGCTGCAAGACCAATTGAGGACCCAACTCTCCATCAATGATATGGCCACTCAAGTATTGTTGATCCTTGGGGTAAAGTTATCTGAGATTCTGGACATGAAGAGACAATTGGTAATTAAAGTCCTAACCTATAGTCTATTCTGATATCGACATGACCATTGTCGAAGAGTGTCGTAGCCAAATTCCTTGCTATTCTCAAAGAAGACATGATCTGTATAAATTAGATAAAGTCACATAAGTTCAATGCTTCAAGATACGAAAGGGGTTTTGGGGTTTTGGGGTTTTGGGGTTTTGGGG